CATTTTGTCATTTGTCTTTATCTTTGATGGCCAAAGTCACTGCCAAATGTGTGATTTTTCTGTCAACTTGCCTAGCCTGTGGCGGGCATAGAAATCCCTGGCGTATCTTAGTCTTTTAGGTTAACCACAGTATCCAAATAACATTGATTCCTCATCCAGAAAAAGAAAACAAAAACAGGAAAACTAAAGAAGAACTCATTCCCCCATGAATCTTGTTCATTGGTCTTTTCCAAAACATTTGGCAAGAAACCTTAAGAATATTGGGTCTTGGCAAGATATTAAAAGCACAAACAGATTGAAAAGTTTGGACCGATATAAAAGCCCAGACAATTCTTGGTGACTTGATAGAGCTTTTTATAAATGGTAGATCAGGCCCATTTGTTGTCTAAAAGTCTTGTAGGACTGCCAAAGTATGGGGGTTGAGCCACCCTAGGTTACATCAATTAACTACAAAATTTTAGTGGGGTATAGGAAATCTTTGTGGTACACCCCAGCTATGGGCTGGGCAGACCCCATTAAAGTCATTGTTTTCCAGAGCAATCTAGTCCATATGTATTCAAAAATACATCTGACAATATTTAGCAACACAAACTCTCAAGGATTATATGATTATAGCCAAAGAAACTATTAACAGTGGAAAAACAAATACATGAAATCGTAGCAATAAAAATAAAATATTGCAATAAAAAGGAAAAGAGAACCAATAAAATGGTAGATTTAAATATAGGCTAGAGAAACTTTTTGAAATTGGGGCAAAGCAAATCTAATTACAGCTTGAAAAGGTTCTACATGCAATCAAAGAATGCTGAGATGCATTTAAGGAACACACAGGTTGCACTATTAGAAATTGTCAAGGAAGATGAATAGCTCACACTTATGTTCAGTCGTACTAAGTGGGAAGACCACTCACTGTCCTCTGTTTTTCAACTAATCAGTGACAGATGGCAGAGGATAGTTTCCCAACAACAGTACACAATCAACAATAGGGAAATAGGCATCCTGATCAGATACCCTGAGGGTGCAGAGATTTAACTTTGCTTCTGAGTGATCCATTGGAAGTGTTACGGATTTTTGAGAAATGTTTAACTTGGTTCTGGGAGCCTACATGGTCTGCTTGTGTGTATTGCTTAGTCAGCTTCTGGGAACAGTTCCCAACCATGCATTCATTTCACATGCTTAGGATGAACAGTACCAACACATGACTTCTTATGCTCAGAAAAAAAATTATATTCAAGGAAGTGAAAAAGTCTTCCCTGGAAGGGGGCGTTTAGGCCTGTTACATCCGCACCAACTTGGTTTCTTAGGAAAGAAAGACCCTTGACTCCATTTGTGGGAAATATTTTCTTTTACTAAAAGCCAAGTCATTCCAGTACAGCAAAGCCAGAGCTGAAGTTTGCGTGCGAAGGTTCCCCAGTTAAATTTCCCTTTCCTGTTCTTCCTGCATAGTCTACGACAGGCTGGCATCTAGAAAGCAAGTTTGAAGCTCAGGATGGCAGTTCAGACAAGGCCACTGAATTCACACTATCGGCAAAACTAGGGTTTTGACTCTGTTAAGAGGCTCACAGAAATATACTCCAGGTTTTTGGGGAAAGCATTTCACACAAAACAACTTCTTTTTAGCAGCTACTTTGAATTCTCAAAGACATTCTCCGTTTCAGTGTATAAATCTTTCTCTGATGATCCTCAGGAGAGAATAAAGCACAACAGTCTGAAATAGATGTCCATGCCCTTTATACTATAAATTAAATTGGAAACCAAGCAAAATACTACAAAGTTATTCAGGCAAGGCTCATAATACAATAGATGTTACAATCTAAAAGCATACATAGGATGTTTTCCCAACTAATGTTGCTTCATCCAATTAAATGGTGATTCCAGCTAGAGAACAGAAGATTGCAGAGGCAGATAAACACAGTGAGAGGAATAGAATGCAGATTCAGCAACTTAATTCATCTAAAGATTCTTGGGTTGTTGCTTTTTTCTAGGCTCTGGTGATCCTGCTTTCCCAATGATAACTGGTGCGGAGCTCAAGATAAACTGGCACTTCTGACTGCTCAGGATCCTCAAGTTATATGAGCATTATACTAATATCTCTCTTGGACCATCTGGGACCTCAATCTGGCTTATTCTGACACTCTCCTTACATTCTTTTCTCTAGCCTTGATCCTTGCTGTTATGTGGATCTAGGGTCCCACCCAGTCTCTATCCATTCATCCATCATCTTTGGTGCCTCTGCTGGGTGTAAGCAGTTTACATCATTTTTCCTTTCCAGTTCACCATGTTTCTCAAGACCTTCTTGTTCAGTAAACAAATTATATTACAATGGCCTGTCTATTTTTATGATGTAAAGCCTAAAACAATGTTCAAGTCTCCATTTTTGATCCAAAATCTCCATCTTTAATCTATTTGTAATGCCAAGCAGTAATTAATACACTATGCTGAATAGGGTTTCTGACCAACATCTCACAAATGTGTAATTACACATGCATATGACAGGCATGTTGGCATGTCCACCCTGTAAACAGCATCAGGAAATTGTTACTGAGTGAAATGACTTTAGGGAGGGAGAAAAGCTGCGCCTTCCGTACCCACCATCAAACACAGTCACTGGGAAAGAGGACAGAAGGCAAGTATACAGTATGTACATATGAATAAATGTCTGAGCATGTATTAATGCAACAATGCACTAATAACCCTAATGGAAATCAGTAGGTTGCATAGATATATTAAGACATAGTTGCATTTTGATAATCCTGTGCTAAATTGAACTGGCTCTACAACAGTAGCCAACAATTGTGCAAGAGGAGCATGGAGAAAGTGATGCTCTCCCATTATTTGGCACATATAAGGAACGGCTGCTGGAATTGGGTATGTCTAGTTTAACGAAGAGAAGGACGAGGGGGGACATGATAGCAGTGTTCCAATATCTCAGGGGCTGCCACAAAGAAGAGGGAGTCAAGCCATTCTCCAAAGCGCCTGAAGGCAGGACAAGGAGCAACGGGTGGAAACTAATCAAGGAGAGAATCAATCTAGAACTAAGGAGAAACTTTTTGACAGTGAGAACAATTAACCAGTGGAACAACCTGCCTCCAGAAGCGGTGAATGCTCCAACACTGGAAGTTTTTAAGAAGAGACTGGACAGCCATTTGTCCGAAATGGTATAGGGTTTCCTGCCTGAGCAGGGGGTTGGACTAGATGACCTTCAAGGTCCCTTCCAACTTTACTATTATTATTATTATTATTATTATTNCGCGCGGCCGCATTCTGAACTAGCTGGAGCCTCCAGGTGCACCTCAAGGGGAGCCCCATGTAGAGAGCGTTGCAATAGTCCAGGCGGGAAACAACGAGGGCTTGAGTGACCGTGCGTAGAGCGTCACGATCCAGAAAGGGGCACAACTGGCGTATCAGGCGAACCTGATGAAAAGCCCCCCTGGCCACGGCTGTCATATGGTCGTCTAAAGACAGCCGAGTATCCAGGAGGACTCCCAGGTTGCGGGCCCTCTCCGCGGGGGCTAATGACTCGCCCCGATAGCCAGAGATGGAGCCAACTGGCTATGTCGTGACGCCGGAAACCACAGCCACTCGGTCTTGGACGGGTTGAGTCAAAGCCTGTTCCTCCCCATCCAGACTCGCACGGCCTCCAGGCACCGGGACATATTGTATCTACTGCATGGCACAACATACCTCTAAGATGGTAATAACTTCCTCTTGAATGTCGACCTTCTGTTCTGGCGCTCAGAGGATGAAATTGCCACTAAAGATTACAAGACGTCAAACGAAGTTAAAATAAGAAGCATTGAAGTCAACTTGGTTTCTTCAGATGTGTCAGAGTATCAACCTTGGAGATAGGCCAATTGCTTACCAGAAAATTATGGGCTGCTGTAATCTAGAGAACACCTGATCAGAGAAGGAGGACAGTATTTACATTTGTTTGGAAAGAAACAAGTGTGCAGTGAAGCCATAATAACTAAAGAGCAACTTCTGTTTTTTGTGGTTATTTGAATTCTGCATAACCCTCTCATTGTGTCCCAAGACATACTCTTGCTATCTGTTTCTAACAGCACTATAAGTCTGTAGGAGGCACCTGCATTATTTAATAAAACCTCTTTACCCAAAGTACTCAAAAGGATGTTCGATAAAAGCCAAATATAACAGGTTTAGGCAAAATGTAGCAGTGCTTTTTTGGCAATTGTTGATACTTAAAACATATTTTGTAATTTACTTTTATATTTTAGAAGAGGACCTTCCTGGAGAAGACGACGAAATGCCTTCCTTCAGATATAGACCAAATGGTAAGAGCAAATTAAGCCTGCCTGGGTTGTCTCCTCCCTAATTGTTCTTCTTTTTCCACTTCATTCCAGGGCCAGAAAATATTGGAAAACTCTACTGGGTTCTCCAAAATCACCCTTCCACTCTTGAGGACTATGTTCCGTTTTCATTCAGTCTCTGCTCTCACAGTCCCTTCTCTTTGGGGTATATTCCCAAAACCTGAGTCATATGAGTGAAATCAGAACTCAGCCCTAGATATACCAGGTTCTCCATGTGTACTTTATCTCTTGCAGGCCGGATGAGGACCAACTGCAGCCAGTGTGAGAAAAACCTAACTCTACAGACATCTGTGAAAGTGTTGTATGTCTTTGTTGTCTTGCTGGTAATGGCAGTGGTGGTGCTGGCAGCTTTAGGTAAGTAAGGGACTACTCATTTTTGGCTTATGTGTTTATTAGGCCACCTAGCTTCATGATGATGCTGGGCAGCTTACAGTAGTAAAAACAATACAAACTAATATCAACAAAGCAGAAAGAAGACAAAGGTTGACTGAAGAGACAACCAGCCAATTCATTACATGAAAGTCTAATGAAAGGCTTATCACCCATCTTAGCTCAAGGCCTAGGGAAAAATATATTTTAATGATTTTTTTAAATGAAGGCAATCTAATTAATCTCTCATACTAATATTTGGAGGAATCCAGAGTCCAGGTACATTGACAGAGAAGGCCCAGTACTGGGTTCCCATTAGTTATAATCAGCACTTTAAATTGCACCTGGAAGCTGACAGGTATGCTCATTACAGGTAGTCCTCGAGTTACGAGTGTAACGGAGCCTGCCCATTCCACTCGTAACTCAAAAACTCATAGAGTGGATTTCGTACTTCAAACGAGATCACTTCCTTGTTCGTTAAGATGTACAATAAGACGTTAAGACGTTAAGTGAACACAAGATATCTCAGGATAGGGAAAGCTATGGAGGGCCTAGTGATGGAACAGGCCCCCAAGGCCTCCCCAACCTACTAAGATACCTCATGCTTCCACCTCCCTTCCTGCCGCTCTGGATGCACCTGAACAAGATCCATCTCCTCTCTGCTGCGGTTCCTGCTTCCGCCCACCCTCCCCGTGGCCCAAGCTGGGCTCTGGAGGCCTTTTCCAGGCTGCTGACACCTGGATCTGAGGTCGGGGGATGCTTCCGCAACCCTCCCCGTGGCCCAATCCAGGCACCAGAAGCCTTTTCCAGGCTGCTGCCACCCAGAAATGGACCACTGGAGGGCTACCAGGGTGAATGTTGCAGTGCCACTGCAGTTGCTCATAAGGGCGAACGACTGCCGTGGTGCAGCAACATTCATAATTTCAGGACTTGCTCATAAGCACTAGGGCGCTCATCACGTAACTTTGAAAGAGCATTAAGTGAACGCTGGTAACTCGGGGATTACCTGTACTATCCATACCACTGCATTTTGACCTGATAGTGAAACAACTGTGTGGCCTTCAAAAGCAGTCTTATGTAGAGGGCATTACAATAATCATGATGAGGACTTGAATGACTGTCTGGAGAGCTTACTAATACAAGGACAGTCACAAGATGAATTTGTGGGAGGCTTCCTAGCCACAGCACTGCCTCTTTGAGCAGGAGCTAGGAATCCAGGAATATGTTGTTGCTGCTGCTCCTGCTGCTGCTGATGAGACCCTAGGTTCTTAGGAAAAACTTGATAATATGAAGGCCAACACCAGCTAAAGAACAGGCATCTGTGGTTTCCCATTGTTGTGTACATAATGCATTGTAATCTTAACCCTCAGAGGCAGTCCAGAAGGGCACCATGCTTGATATTGAAATCTGATAAAAGATCAAGGAGAGCCAGGATGGTAGTACCAGAGGTCGTCAAGAAGCCAATCTATGTACTATGGCCAGTTTGAAATACAACTGAAGTATTTATGTAATCCATTTTCTCCAGATTCCTCTAGTGCTGCATCCCAACCATCTTCTCAAAATGTTCTCCATTCAAACAATAGATAGTACATTCCAATCACAATTAGAACTTTTTAATACTAGGCTGGCCTCAGATCATATACACATATCTCAAGGGCTGTTGTAATTTTCAGGATTGCTTTTTTAGATTCCTTTTAATAGTACTCATCAGTGTACCTTTTAGAGACTGGACAAAGCTCATTGCAAGCAAGGACTACACTCTCACTCAAAATATATGCATTCCATTCCACATTAGGATTACTTCCTTACTTTGTTGATGCTGTACTTAAAAGTTCCTGGTTTAAAATTGTATGTAGGAAAATTAGATTGGCTTCTCTCCAGATGACCTATTTTTAATGGGCCATACTTCAGTGTTTTGTTAATTAAGCAAAAACTCTAGAATTAAGACTTGATTTGTAAAGCTTAATTCATCCTGTTCTGTCACTTAGGCATTTATTATTAAAATAATTGACATATGGGCCTCATATTTAACTAATATGACTCATAGCATTTATCAGATTATTTCTGCAAAAAGCACAATTACAGTAAATGCCTTTCTATCACATATCTTGTTAGAAAGATTCCAGAATATACTCTGTACAAGGTCTTGTACAAAGACTCTACTCTTGTAGTAAATCAGAAGTAGAGTCAATGGAGCACATACATTTGGCATTTGATTTTACTATGTTGAAACAGACCTTTATCTTTCCTTTATTGATTTTTAAACCAGGCTGTTTAAACATATATACAAATTTTGTCTTCTCCAAGTGAAGACCCATCATGACTCTGTCAAAAGCCAAGTTTCTGTTGTTGTGATTCCAAGAAGAAACTATTTTCTGAATGATTTGTTTCTCATGCAATATCATAAATTGTTAGATTTGTTCTTGGGTCTTTTGACTATAATAAGCCATTTTCTTACCTGCCCACTACATAAGGGCATAAATTTAATAAATATGTGGTTGAGTTAGCATCCCTAATAATCTTGCCTGCTTCCTCAGGAGTTCTCAAGTTCAAACTCATCTTAGCCAACTACATAAGATCTTGCCTCAACGTAACTAGCTTATTCAACTCCAGGCAAGTCCAAGCAACTTTATCTACCAGATAGCTAAAATATTCTTCATTACAGCCCTAGGAATGATCTTGTAACTCAAACATCTCATCATGTTCTCAGCTGCCTATAGTAGCTCAAGCTATGCAAAACAGCAGAAAAAGGCCTTAGTAGTCCACATTTCTTTCTAATATTAGCTGCCAGTAGCTGCTGGCAGTACTATGACTCATAAAGTATAGGCTTAAATGCTGTAGACAGGATGTATCTGTAGGAACCCAGGTATCATTAATCATCCTTCAGTAATTTCCAGGACCCTGGAAGGAGGAAGGCAAGAATTATCCAGCAATTCTTCCTTCTTCCCAGATTCCTTTCTGGCGGTACTGCTTGGTCCAGCCTTGTCTTTTTTCTAGCAATTAGCCTGCACCTTTTCCACTTTCTCCTCATCTGATGACTCAGTTTTAAGAGCTGGCTAGCAAAGGGCAATCTTGGGATATGAGTCCTTTGGTGGAAGTGTTCAGTTTACCACTGCCTCTTTGCCTGCCAGCTTGGATTCCATCTGCTTAGCCTGGAACATCTGCAAATAAGTCTCATCTTTTCTATGAAGCCTTTTGGTGAAATGTAATATATCTATTTGCAAGATGGTCTTAAAAACATGAAACCGAACCAATATCAGATTGATCTGGTTGATATATTGCATATATCACTCAAATGTTGATGTATTTATCCATGGTTTGTTGAAGAAGTCTTTGTTGGCTGGGTTCACAATGTGCTAAGCCAAAGACAAAAGAATTATTGATTCCTCCATATAATAATTGTAAATTCCATCAAACAATGTCTGCCTATCCCAGGTCCTTAGGAAGGAGTCAGTAGGTGGATAAAAATGCCCAATCCAATTTGAACATCTGGTTGATTGTGTGATAAACCATTAATAATAAGCTTATTTGCTGCCTGATTCCCAACAGCTGGGCTGCATTCTCAGTTTTTTTCCATTTTTGTTACTGCTTTTTTGTTCTTAGTTTTAGAATAAAACCCCATTCGGCAGGACCTATCCTCTTGTAATCTGAAAGTATTCCTTGAAAGTTTTCATCTGCCTTATTATTCTCTGCAGCCCCTAAATGGATTGGGTCCATTTACAAATACAGTCTCTCTTTTCCTGGCCTCTTTCATCACAGGAATTGGGTCCACCTGTATTGATTTTGAAGAATTGTTCTATGGATGAATACAAAGTCCTGAGACCATTTGCATAATTTATTTCAACATTCTTTTGACTTGGAAAGAATGAAAAGTCATCCCAATCTGGTTTGCATATTCCTCTCACAGTCTATAACGGGGCCCTGCAACAAAAGTGCTTGTTAAGCCTGGAACAAAAGTGGCTATGTTGAAAGAGCAGTCAGCTACTGTTAGGCCTTGTGTATTTCAGATGCTATGTAATCTGCCAGGTTCTAAACATGGCCTAAACCAGGGTAGTCAACCTTGGCTCTTTTATGACTCGTGGACTTCAATTCCCAGAATTCCTGAGCCAGCTTAGCTGGCTCAGGAATTCTGGGAGTTGAAGTCCACGAGTCATAAAAGAGCCAAGGTTGACTACCCCTGGCGTAAACATTCCCAAGATGAAGAGAGCAATCATATCCCTTTCAAGGGACAAACTGGTGTTGATAACAGGCGAAGTGGAAATTGCACCCTAAAAAAGCAACTGTCCCAGGGATAGTTCCAGAGTCTTATCTTTCTTTTGCCCTCAGTTTGAACCAATTCCAACTGGCAATTAGAAATCTTTCCCCCTTTTGAGCCAA